CATCACGCACATTTTTGCAGCCCGTTTAGTCTATTATTGCGCGTTTGCACCTGTCGGCCACTGTAGTTGTCTGATTGGGGACATCTGTAAGCATGAAATGAAGCAATAATCTCACAGTAATATAATTAACCTCTAACTGTAGATCGTATCTGCATGATGTATATCACCAGCGGCTGAAATGTTCACTGAAGCTGTGTGTATGTTTTTTAAATCGAGGTGGTTACGTTAACAAGGAGGTTGTTGAATAAAACAGAATCTATCAAAGTGTATATTTTATTTTCTAAGGTTCTTTGCATTGATTACTTGGTCTTTATAGGCCTGTTTGAGTACCCTTGGTAAATTATTTAAGAGGAACTTAGTTCATGGAAATTGTAATGGGAAATGTGTATGCGTTTCAGAACGAAGGATTGATGTTTGAGACTTACATAATGGCCCTGCAATCCAAGATTGTTTTTTTCTACTACATTTTAGTTAAGTTCTTTCTGATTAGCCAAACATCACATTCTAAAGGTTGAGTCCTTGTCTGCCCTCAGAGAGCAGCCTAAAGACGTTAGGATATCAGACCAAGAAAGTCAAACAAGTTGGATATCCATAATTTTAGGTCGGTGTGGCAACTCCAATGGATCAAATCCCTCTTAACAAACCACATAGTGGGATTATCTCATCAGAATTTTTGAAGAGCCATCACAATAATCGAGCCGTCTCAGCAGGGGAAGACCGGGGCAAAAATCATCATTACTGTCTTGCTGTATAAACCAGGCCTCAGTTTTGTTAAAGGACAATATCAAATAAGCATGAACCCTTTTGCTTTAAATGTTCGACTTTGAACTCTCTCCAACTTTCTGGATAAAAGTCTTGCCTTAATCATTTAAATTTTTACAGTAAGAGATTTCATTATATTAAATGTTTTTTAGGATATTTTTATGCAATGGTTGTTTCACCAGAAACAACTTCAAGCTGAACATAAACATTCAAGCTATTGGACAAAAATCCCCTGGTGTTCTAATGGCTACCTGTAGCATCCAGCCACCAAACTCCATACCTGCTTTAAAATGCATGTCAGAGAAATCTACGTTGAAGGGAGGGAATATAATCAACAAAATGTATAGATTATTTTATTCCCCATTATAGAAACTATTTATGTTACCATTCTCAAGTGGATTATATTTTTGTTTAATGTATTTATCAACAGTAAAATGTTTAATTCTGCTGCAAGATTTTCAACAAGTAAAATACATTTTTTCCTTAATGGAATTGTCAGACAAGTGTCTTCTTTTTTCTACATATTTTTCGGAACACATCGGTGCATGTTTAACTGATTTGATTCGTCCAGAAAAGTCACATCAACCTGAAATATTTTTTCCTACAATGTATACAAAAAATAAAGGGAATGCTCAAACAATGAATCCTAGATCAGAATTAATGAAATATACTAAAGGAATATTTTTTTCTGTACAAATTTGAATGTTCTGACAACAAAATAACACAAAAAGTATCAATGTAAATAAATTGACTAACTATTGGATGCCTGAATTTGGAGTCACACAAGAAATTAAAGTCGAAAAATATACTATAGGCTGAGCCAACTTTGATGTAATGTCCTTAAAACAAGTCAAAATGAGGCTCAGTATTGTGTGTGGCCTCCATGTGCCTGTATGACCTCCCTTCAGCACTTGGGAATCCTCCTGATGAGATGATGGATGTTCTGAGTGATCTCTTCCCAGACCTGGACTGAGGGGCTGTTAAGGCTGATTTATACTCAGAAACCAGGTTGACAGTGTGTTTGTTGCAGTGAATTAAAATGTGCCCCCGCCCCTGCCGCAGACACTCTGCTGCACCTCTTCGAAATTGTAGGTGACCGCAGACCGGATCACGGACATTGTTTTAGCAAACTCGCACACCAAGGCAACAATTTTAGTGACCCCAGGTCGGCGTAACTGGGTGTCATTACCACCAGCGTGAATAAAAATCTTACTGTATTTAACATTATCCTTAATTAGCCAGAAATTTAATATACAATGTGAAGTCAGTCATTATGTTCCCCGGTAAACATTTGACAGTGGTACCTGGTGTCTCTGTGGGTGCATCACTGAGCAGGGAAAATTGGTTAGGAACTTGGACGGGTTGGTGGTGACCAGGGGTCAGAGATCCATGACTACCCCAATCGCCCGGCTGCAACAAGAAGTCACTGCGACACACTGGGCATCCACCAGCTCTTGGACAGTCTGTGGTGCAACATGATGTTCCAGATGTGCTCAATTGGATTCAGGTCAGGCCCGTCCATCGCTTCAATGCCCTCAGCTTGGAGGAACTGCTGACACAGTCCAGCCTCATGAGGTCTACCATTGTCCTGCATTAGGAGGAACCCAGGGCCAACTGCACCAGCATATGGCCTCACCAAGGATCTCATCTCTGTACCTTCTGGCAGTCTCTATTAAAAAAAGCACCCCAATTCTTTTAATTTCTTTCTTACTTACATTTACCTACATGTCACTGCCTTATCTGCAATGATATCTCCATTCATCTGTAATTGAAATGGTATCCACAGAAATGTAACAGTAAAAACCTTTCATTTAATTTGGTATACTACCTTTGGGATTGCACACTATTCATGGCAAAGCTACCAACATTGGTAGCATTTTGTCTATTATATACATGCAGATCATCATTAAGGCCTCCCATAATAAAGCAAGAAGCATAGGATGCCACTGGGAAGTTGAATACCTCTAGTAACACTTTTTGTGCTACATATCCACGTAAAAATGCTGTTTCTTTTCATATTAGTTCTGAGTACAAGTCTTATGTCTAGCCTTAGTCACAGCTGAATTTCCCCCTCTATGGGAAAATTTATGCATTACTCATGTTGTTGCAAACTTTACACTTTATAAAGAAGCCACATTTTGCAGAAAAAACTGAAAAAAAAACATGCATTTTCTTTTATTACTACCCCAAATGATTAATTATGGATCTAGTGAGAGCATCACACATCATGTTAAGGGGAACTTGGGCTGGAGAATAATATTAATGGCAATATAATTTTATTCAATAACTTTGTTACTTTTAAACATATTATTTTCATTTACACTGCAGTATATGATTACAGCATTTTTCACTAACTGATGCTACAGGTTTTGTGTGTTTGTTTTTAAATAGAAATACTTCTAAACCATTCTATTAGAGGAATTATAAACACCTGTAAGTTTGTGCAGGGAATTCTTGTGGGTTTCTGAGGCTTTTAATGTGTTTATATCGACATTGTAAATAATATTGTATTTGACCAAATTAAGAAAGATTAAAATGTAAATTTTAGTCATATCTTGGGAAAAAAACAAAAACAAAACATTGAAATTACAGAAGTTTTGATATATTCTTTATTTTTATTAAACAAAATCTCAGTAAAAACTCTTTATGAAATAGAAAGATTTCCCTGTCAGTAGTACGCTGGCAGCTGCGATGCCATCCGGACTCCATCTTATCTCCAAATACCCCCGTTGTTGTGATTTTAACCACAGGCTGTGGTCCACAGCTACACATCAGTTTCCTTTTAAACTTCACTTGCAAAACATTAAAGACTGCTAAATTACTGGAGGGTATATGGTGAAGTTATCAAAGTGAACAACTTATAAAAACATCAGAAAAATAAAAGAAAAATATCTCCAATTCTAGTAAAATCACAACAGCTGATTACATGATGGGCAACGGCTCTGCCTGATTGAATTCTCACCTAAAGAACATGTTAATGTAATCAATATCTGGCTCACAGTGGGAGAATGATGACAGTACAGACTGTGTACCAAGAGAAAAAAAAAAAAGAAAGGCCTAAAGCAGTAGTGAGTAGGTGCACTATGCAGGTTTCTCAAATATTCTCTAGTTAATTTTTTAAAATAAAAATAAAGAGGCTACATGATTATGATCACAAAATTAAAATCTCTTTGGCATAGAACACCCACCCAGAAGCATAAACACACGCACTCGCATGCACACATTTCTATAAGGTTTTTAACAAAAACTTAAAAGCTTCCATTATTAAAAAAAAAAAATCATACTTTTTCATATAAAACACAAAGTTGAGCCCTGTTAAAGTTGTGAGTCCCAAACTCTCATTGCATATTTTACAGAAGGTGGAGAGCAGAGGGAGTTATCTCTACCGGTGAATGCAATCTGCCTCGCCACTAAATCCCACTGTAGGTCGTCTGCCTCATCCTGTTGAGCAGCAGAAAGAGAAGATGAAGGAGGGTTGATGAACAGTTTCGACACTTGGCACCAATCTGCTCCAGACAGAAGTTTCTTAAAATAAATCTGTTGTATATATCAGTGAGTTCCAACATTTCCATAGAAAGTGAAGGGAGCATGGTTACTCTATGCTCCAGTTAACGATTAATCAAATACTTTATTATTTCAATAATCGATTAATGACGACTAATCTGATTAATTGTTTTAGCCCTACTATATTTTTAATCTACTTTAATAAGTCAAAATAAAATCTAATTCCAAAATCCGATAAATTGGGAATCATCCCCATTTAACAGTTTATATGGGGATGATTCTCCATCCCCCATATAAACATTGTTGAATCAGAACTTTGTTAAAAAAGTAGGCCTACTTCATAATAAGCAATGCATTTGCAGAACCATTGGTTACAGGTCGTTTCCCAGATTACATCTGATAAACATCATAGTTTTAATCCATAATCATAGTTTTTTGTATATATATGCCAGAAAAGTACATTTTAGTCATTTTAATCAGAGCACCCTGTTCCACGTTTGTCTCCTTCACTGCTTGCAGCAAACTGCAAAGGGAACTTCTTCTGCCCCTAAACTCAAAAACGTCAGAATCTTTGACCCTTTCTTAAGCGGTCCGATATTTGATGCAGATTTTAGTTTTCATATTTTATGAATCATCCCAACTTTGTTTAGTTATATACATATCCCAAAGTATTGAAAGCACACCAAAATCCTTTAGTTCAACATGAAAAAAGTGTGTATGCATCGTGTGCTGGTCACAATCATCATCGCAATACTGACCGTTAATAATGATCAGGGTATCTGTCATATGCCGCGCCACCCTGAAAATCCTCCGACATCATATGTCCATTCATGCTGTCCATTGGCATTTCAGCTGGGTATCCATAGCCCTGGAAACCACCATCTATTTCTGCAGGGGATTACCACATTGAATTTGTTAGTTGTCACAGGCACACTGTTAATCTCATCTCTAAATCAATTTATAGTAGATATAATTTGTTTAGGAAAGAGACTAAAGCAATGGAAAGAAAAGTGTAAGAAGGAGCAGAGTTCAAGAGAAACATGTAGAGTTGTGTCTATTAAATCAGAACTTTGTCTGAATGAACTTGAAAAGTTGTAAGTCTAATGCTACGTTCAGGCCGCACTCGATAGAGGCAGCAGAAGCTGCTAGTTTACATGCAAAAAGTAAATGGTTGACACGCATCGAGGCACATTAAACGGTCCTACAGCATGTTTCGAGCAGCAGGAAAGTCTTGACGCATGCATCTTGACGCATCAAAGCAGCACCCCATGAGATTCTGAACACCTGAGGCGAAAGATTTTACTTTTGCCGCTCAATGTGCAACATCAACCAATCATCTTGGAGCTGGCAGGGAGACAGAAACAGCACTGATGATGTAAGTCATTATGATCACTCCTCTGAAACAGTTTAACATCTAAATTAACTTAAAATGTCAAAACCTGCCGGCAAAATATGTCTTTTTATTATTTGGGCGCCTGCAGTCTGGATTATGTCCATGAAAAAAAAAGCCTTCCAGCCACCACGAACAGCAGCGGAGACGCGACCCGACGAGAGGCTGCTGTTGAAGGGAATTTTCAGCGACAGAGCACTGCCAAGGGGGTTTCGTGCTGGTCCGACAGCCAAATAATATTTTAAGGCAGAATTGTAATCTTGATGAACTGACTGCACAAATTATGTTTTGAGGTGGACTTTTTCACTTAAAAACATTAAAACTACTTTTTACCCACTGATCAGAGTAAATATATAGCAAAGCTGCTCTCTGCCATTGAACTAGGGAGGAGCAGATGCATCATACGTATCTTTACACACTTTACTGGAGACGCTTCAGGTGCTTCAAAGATGCACCTGAGGCGCGTTGGACCTTAATGTGTTCAAGCATCAAAAATGAAGCAGCAGAAGCTTTTTGCTGCTTCTATCGCATGCGGTTTGAACGTAGGAAAGTCAGATCCCAGAGAACCTTTGTGCACTTCTATACACAAAGGAAACATTAAGGGGAACAAAAGTTTGAGTGTTTTAGATATCTAGAGAAATAAAAGTGTCCCCTGCCCTAATCACTACAGCAAATTTCCATCAGTGGGCTGACAGGTGCAGTGTTTGTATAGTGCTAACATGTTAGTGAAAACTCACCATCTTGAAAGTTTCCTTCAACGATTGTGTTGTGAGCCTGTCACATCAAAGGCAATGGTCAGTTACAATTTTTTTAAGCACAATAAAAAGACAGCTTTCAATATAATAAGGTCTTGGACTGTGAAATTCAGACAGGAGAGGGCGCCACCCACCGTCTCCCAGGCTTCTGGGTCATGTTTGAACAAGGAATGCGTGAGCTCCACAGAGACTCGCTTCTTGTAATCAGGGGTCTTATCCTCAGAGATGCGGAAGAGAACAGCAGCAGCGTAGGTAGCTGGAGAGGAAAGAAAAAACGTTAATGGCCGATGATCCATAAATATAACACTGGAACAAACATCAAGAATGCCTTTGCAAAAGTTTAGAGGGCACCTCATGTCTTAAAGGAACCACTTTGTGGGTGTATCCACTGATCTATATTTATTCACTGGATTGCTGATTGCCTGAAAAAAGTGAAGTCACTTGCCGCTGTCTAGGCACTCCGCACTTTTACAGAGACAAGTCAGAAAATGATCTGTGTGTGAAGCATTTGACTGCAAAAACAAGCAGTTTGCTAGCTGTGGGAAGACTTTTCAAAGGTAATTTCCCAGTTAGTGGATGTACTAACCAAGAGAATCCATATAGACGCCAATGTATCTCATAGTATAGTAAGTAGAGTAACATTAGTCTGGCTATCTCGCACTGACTCAATAATATTGACCGAGTTAGCTATTGACATTTTGTCTAATGTTAGAAATAGACAGTAGAGTAAATGGAAAGTAAAAGTGGATGACGCTGCTGTTTTTGTAGTCTTTGTTGTATTTCTCATTTGAAAAAGCCATGTGCTGAAATATATTGCATGTTATATTGACAAAAGAAAAAAAAATTCAAAATTTTTTAAAGGCTAATGCACAGACAGCATAAAAGTATATGCCATCATGCATGCATAATTTGCAAATACGAAAAGACTAAAGCATTAGCAGACATGTAACTGTCTTGATGTAAAATCTTGAAATCATATGTAATATGATGATGTAATATGTATATTACTTGTACATCAATTTAGTACTTTTGGCACATCTGTATTATTATGCTCCATTAACACATTCATTTTGTTGTGATGTCTTTGAATAATATGTTATATTAAATGATTTTATTGACTTCATAATTACTATGCAATGTGATGTGCCTATTTCTTTAATTATAAGTTCAGTAATCTACTTATGCTTTGAAACAGCAAGTGTGTGTCAAAGTGATGAATTTATCTTTTTTTAAAAAGTCCCCCTGAAAATGAGAACATAATCATTGTTCGATGCTGTAGTGCAAATATTGTTTACATTGCGACCGGTCAAACTAGGGATTACCAATATGGCGGCCGGTGGCTTCACTTCTACCCTGTACTACCAACAGGCTATCAGCAATCCAGTGAATAAATAGAGATCAGTGGAGTAATCTCCCTAAATGAAAAGAATAGGCCTGTTAAAACTGCAGCTTGGTTTTTGTATGAAATATAAAAATTAAGGAAATAAAGTTTAAAAGTAAAAGGGGTGGCAAGGCATTAAAGTTTAAAGTCTAGTCTTATCTTGGTATACTTTGTTCCGTTTTAGTTGCCCCTTTATCTGAGGTTAGCATCTGGAGGTAATTGGTCTGACTTACAGTAATAGTCTCTAGTCTGGTTAATTTCTCCTCCATCCTGACCACCACCTCTGACTTACTGTGTGGTAATTCAGAGGTCATAACTTCGCCTTTTACCCCACATGGAACTTTCCCAAATGATAAACTTTTAGAGTTGATTAAAATTGAAGTGGTTCTTTATTGCCCCAGTATAAAAGATGACCTGCATGTAACACTAAAAACAAAAATATATCTTAAAAGACAAAAAAGAAAAACTATTCTTACCTTACTAGCCCTTTTCATACAAAATAAATGATCAAAGTTCTGCTTCACAGGACATGTAACTTTTGGGTTGATGGGGGGAAAAACCCCAGATAGCCCTTAATGTTTTGAGGGATGTGGACGTAATTAGAGTTTTGAATGAGCTCAGTCACTGCAGTGCCGCAGGGGGACATAATTTGGACATGAGTCATTAACAGAATTTCTGCTCTCCAAAAAAAACAGGAATATGAGCGCTTTATCTGATACACAATGCATGTAAACAATCTGGTTTGAATTTAGCCCATTTTAGGATAAGGTCAACAGCATAAATGCTGCTGTGCGAGTAAACAGTCTGCTAAGGAAAGGAAAAACAAAAGTTTAGATTTATATAAAATGATAGATCATTTAACCAGTGCTACAGATTGATAACACTTTCCAGCATTGAATGGAAATGTATTATTATTTAGTGACTAGGCTACCATTATTAATACATCCTAGTAAAGTCTAAGGGCTGAAGTAGAAAATCTCCACACAAGTAGATTTCACTGTATCTGCAACTGGTTTAGGAACCAATGTTTTTAAAATAAATGTTCTGTTCATTTCGTATACAGGAGGCAATCATATTAAGATTCTTGTAGAGATGCTCTGACTTTTTTAAGTAGGAACCTCAAATTATCATGTTTTTTATTGCACCGTGTTGGGTACCCGTATAAAACGTACATCTACGGGTAGAAAAAAACCCAAACATATTATGTCACAGGTGCGGTCACAGGTATAAAAGAAAAAAATACGGGTATCAGAGTTAGAGCATGAATGAAACCTATTTATATTTTCTTATTTATTAACTCTACTTCTTAAAAAAAAATCAACTGATTCAAAAATATCCAGATAAAAGTATTTTTTTAAAGCAATGAGGCAAACCTTCTTACTTCTGTGAATTTACAGCTGGATTAGAGTGTGAGGCAATGCTCTTCAATGCCCGTTATTATAAATGGCTGTGTACAATTTGTGATCACAGAGATGGGTCACACTTTATTATTTAGGGGTCCATGCGGTCCGGGCCGGGTTTTAAATGGGGATAATTATGGGTAACGTGGGTCGGGTCTTAGCTCTTAATTCTATGGGTGCAGAAAAGCTTTGAAAAATAAGACCCATGCAGGACTCTGCTTTTTCATATATATATATATACACAAATTAGCTTTGTGAAGAGGAGGTGTAAAGATTCCCCTCAGACCACCAGCTTCTAACCTCATGTCTTATTTTAGCATCTCAACTAGGAAAAGATTAAATGAGCTGAAAACTTACAAGACTCAAAAAAATAAGAACAAATATTTTTAGACTTATTTCTCAGCAAGTAAATGTTTTTTGTTTAGTTGAGCAAATAATTACTAACAGTTATGCAAAACCTCTAAAAACAAAAATATCTTAAAGAATAAACTAGAATAACACTAATGGTAGCTTTCTATGGGTCAGTGAAATGTTCAGGAGAAGTAATGCTGGAAATACTAAGTTGAGGCCAGATACCGGGAAACTGCTCTCACATTAAGTTCTGCACTTCCATAAATTGATTTCCTTTCTCTCCAATTATGATTCATAGCAACATGATGATGGGCTAATTGGACCGGGATATCTAGGCAGCCTACCGATGCCCTCATTGTTGGAGTGAAGTAGCTCCATCAGGGGAGCTGATGCTCCCTCTGCGTCGATCAACTCGGCTGAATTTTTGTCCTGGGACATTTCACACAGAACACCTGCCGCCACACGCTTTATATTGTCCACTGGAGAGTAGAGGAGCTGCAGGAAGAGAGGAGAAAATTAGAGGAGAAGATAAGAGATGGTCATCTATTACATAAGTAAAATAAACAGTAGTCATGTGCCAATATTACCAATATTGGCAGACTGACCCCAAACACTTTAAAAAAGTTTCTGCATCTCAATAAAGGCTATTTTGATATGCAGGGATGAAGAGTAGGGCTGGATCATCCCCTTTAAATGTGTTGCTGTACACTGCCTGTCAGCTAGCCCAATAAATATCAAAGATAACTAATAATTATAACTACTAATCAATTTGCAATTATTACTGAGAGGAATTATTGCTTTTATATTTGATAAAAACATCAGAATTCTTACTGAGCTATAAAACAGAAATGTAGGAAAACGTGTGCATCATACAGGTTAAATTAAATTCATTTGTGCAAGAACTACGGTAATGTTTTAACATTAGATGATCATACTGCTAGAATGACACGTGACCTTGATTATTATTATTATTTTTTTTTTTACCTGAACAAAGAGGGGAATGGTATCTAAGTGAGCAATTTCATCTCTGTTGATGGGATCTCTTGCTAGGATGTGCAAAGCTCCTGTGCAACCCTCCACAATCTCCTCCATCCTCACACCGTCCTGCCATTTAAAACCAAAACATTATTCGTGGAAAAACAAGATTTGGTACATTCCATGATAGTGAAAGCCAGAAGCGGCCATTAGGTACCTGGTATGTCTGCTGGTTGGAGGAATCATGTTTCTGAGCATCCTGGTGGGCCTTAAGCAGCAGGTTAACCAGACGAGGGATGCCTCCTGCATCTCTGATGGGGGCCTGGTTCTCTGGGCACAAGGCCAGGTTACGGAGTAAGCCAGCAGAAGCCTGTAGATGGGGGGATAAAAAAATAAAAATAAAAAATCAACTACTGGAAAGACATGTTTAGCAGAAGATATCCATAATTGGTGTGAAAATAAAAGTTAAAAATAGCACTTTTTGGTTCTGTTTTTAATTGAAACATTTCCTTCAGATATGCTCCTTCAGGCTGAGCAGCACTTTGACCTTCTGGATACTCTTTGTTCATCTATTCCAGCATTTACCTTGGAGTTCCTTTACTCCTGTTTTCCTTTTTTTCTTTAAATCACTCCACATTAAATCATTTTCTATTTTCCTGGTGCCACCTTCCCTTAACCAACACACTTTGCACCAATTTTAGTTTCAGCCTTCTGTCCTTTTAAATCCATATCTCTACCTTGATGATGGGCCAGTAGTAGGGCTGGTTGAGCAGCTTGACGATAGCTGGGATGCCGTAGCTATTCCTCACAGCGTGCTGCGCCAGCTCGGCATGCTGGTGTCGCGAAGTCAGATGCCGCAGAGCACAAACTGCCGGCTCAGTCACATCCTCCTTCTCTGGAGCACGCAGTATGGCATGGATCAGCGCCTCTACTCCGTTGCTCTGGGTGACCAGAGATTTGTTGTTGCTGTTGTTGCATGTGAGGTTGGACAGGATGCCGGTGGCACAGGTGAGCATGTTGAGGTCCTGTGAGGAGAGGAGCCCCACCAGAAGTTGCAGCAGGTTATCAACTCCTTCCTGGAGAAAAAAAAATCCACTTCAGATTAGTTGTGTGCCAGATAAAAAAAAAAAAAAAAAAAAAAAAAAAAAAATTGGTTGTTTGAGAAAGGAATTCAGACCTGCTTAGTTGCAGCGTCTGACAGGTTCCTGAGAGTCCACAGGCAGTTCTGTACCAAACGCTGGCTGCCGCCCTGCAGGTGTTTTCCCAAAGCCTGCATTCCACCTGAGGAGACAGAAGAAAACCCCTCAGCTCCCAACAACATCTTATAAACTGAGGCCCTGTGTGTTGGGGCCTCAGTACAGCAAGAAATAAAAATGCACCCCATAACTCCTCTGCTCAGACAGGTGTCTTCTCTCACATACAAAACAAATTACATACCAGCTTCTACAATGGCTGGTTTGTTGCTGGGGCACACAGAGAGGACTTTGAGGACACGGCTGGTGGTCCACAGCAGCTTCTCGTAGCTGTAGTTTTTCATGATATCAACAAGACCCTCTGGACCACCATTGGCGAGGATTATTAGCTGTTAATCACAGACAAAATGTTAATAATAAATAGACTACCCTAAATTCATTTAATCTTCACCCAGAGGGTATTAACTCAGAGATCACAAAGCCATAGCTTGTCCGGGCAGATTACCAATATTTCCGACAGTTTCCCCATTACTCTAATCGTTAACAATATAACTGCACCCATAACATCACCATGCCAGCACCTAAACAGCTCGGTTCACATGCCACACCCAACAAAAACACATCTTCCCACTGCAGTATTTGGCAGCATTCCAAGTATGTGTCTCATCTGCAAGAACACAGAATGTCCCAAAAACAGACACACACCTTGCTCTCCTGGTTGCCGTAGGACAGCAGCTGCAGGCAGTCCGTGGTGATGGCCAGGAACTTGGGGTTCCTCTTCTTTAGCAGTGGGATCATCCTCTGCAGTCCATCAGCCAGACGCACAGCCATTTTGGCTCCCTCCTGGTGCAGCAGCAGGTTGTGAAGTGTGGTGATGGCATAGAAGAGCACAGACTCCATAGGAGAGCTGAACAAGACAAGGGAAAAAAAAAAAGTGTATGATTACAGAGAAAATTGGCATTATGACTATATCTTTCTAAGTTCTAGTCAACCGAATGTCCTGTAACTATATAATCGCAAAGGAATGTCTGTTTAAGTCCTATTAAGACATAATGGAGACAAATTCATTAGCATCACGAGGGAAATTCATCATAGAATTAAGTTCTAGTTCAACCTTTTTACAGGACTTAAATTAGAGCCACCCATATTTTCATCTACATAAAATGTTTATTCATTTATAAAATAAATAAAAAAATATAAGAAAATGGCTTCCACTTATTAATCAGAACAATAATCTGATAGTCTGTTACAGAAATCTGCATGGGACCCAGCAATTCATGGCCTTTTCTGCCCTGGTGCACAAGAGTGAAACTAAAGTTGGTACAGAAAGTTTCTCCCATGATCATTTTTTTTAAATTCTCTATTATCTTAAAAGCATGTATGGTACTGTATAATTCTAGAGAAGTTTTGACATGCAACACTGCTGTGTCATTTACAAAGTTTTAAACATCTGACTCATTGTCTGTGAACAAACGACAACCGATTTTTGTTGGATCACCGGCTCTGCCAGTTGTCCTCACATAACCTCAGGGTGTGGGAGACTTGTAAAACAAACAACCATCGTCATTCGAGTTGACAACATTGAGAGAACTGAACTACGTTTATTGAAGGGCAGAATAATTTTACTGTAAAGGTTAATCGTGTATGATTCACTTTTAACACCACGTACTGTGAGCCAAACAATCAATGAGACTCATTTAATCGTAGCAAGGTCAGCCAGGCACATCGGGGAAAATACATTATGAAGAGCAAGACATGATATAAAACAAGGAATACTACAGCTGCATGTGTTGAGATGGATATATCCATAGAAAGATTATAAAGCTCTGATTATTCAGGTGATGAAAGGGGTTAAAAATCTATTGTTGGAACAAAACATCTTTGGCTTTCACAAAACTTAACAAAATGGAGCACAGGAAAGGCTATAGGTGAGTAAATTAAGAAGGTAGCAAATCTTATTTAAAAGTATATTTGCATAAAATCTAGAATATTTCAAACTTTTCATCGTTCCAGAAAAAATGACTTAAATACCAAGTGACAGAGCAATAAATTAAGCAGAAGGCGACATTGAGGAGGCGGTACCTGAGCATACGGACAAGAGCGGGGATCCCTCCTGACTTGAAGATGCCCAGCAGACCCTCCCTCTGGTGGGACAGGTTGTGGAGGATGCTGGCTGTGGCCTTGGTCGTCTCCATGTCGTTTGTGTTCTGCATGGCCCGGACCACCGCCGCCACAATCTGAGGGGACTGCATGAGGGCACGCCGCGAGGCCTCCTGACGGGTGAGCTGGTTCACAATCTGTGCCGCCTTGCCGACCACCACCTGTCCAAAGGATTAACAGTTAGGGAGGGGGGCGTTTGTATTTTATTATTGAAATGATAGCTAAAATACTTTCATGATAAAAAAAAGATGTAATTAAAAAATTCATAATTTCTGCAATTCTTGTGCAACTATATTTTAGCCTAGCTAGTTTGATTTTGCATAAACGTAAGGGTGCATGTCTTCATGTTCATCACCTGATCTTCATCATTGAGAAGTTTAGTAAGCTCTGGGATGGCCCTTGTGGCCAACTCGGCATCATCTTGGTAGTTGATCAGGTGGATGATGGCCTGTTTGAGCATCTGTGATGGCTCGGCCAGCCGCTGCACATTGGTCATCTGGGCTGAGTCTGTCTGGGTCGACAGGATGGTGGTGCCTTCCTCCAGTGTTTCCGGGAACATTGCAGCCCGAACCCGCTGTGTTCTGCTCAGCGTCAACTGGCTTTCCAGGTCTGGAAAGAAGGAAAATGGTGATCAATATAATCATAAAGAGAGACTCATTTACAGAAAACTGTTAAGTTAAAGAATTCTTTGCCTCACCAGGCTCCTCCCTGGAGATGGTGGTGGTTTTGACATAGCGTGTGGAGGTTGTGTACTCGCCATCGTCGTCTCTATAGGTGGTGGCTCCAGACTGGATGCCAGAGTCCAGCCCGTACATCGTCTCCTGCCACTCTTGAACCTTTACCCTGCCCCGATCCATCTCACCCACTGACAAGACCAAAAACATCAATGAAGGTCAGAAACGATGCCAGCGCATTTCCATTCATTATCAACATTTTAAGAACCATCTGGTGAAGAAATATTTGTAAAAAATGTACATTTTCTTTCTATTCAAAACTATTATTATTAAGAAATAATCCTTTTTGAACCACGGGATTTTAATCTAAGTGAGTCATTCTGAAATCTTTAGTTTATTCTATTTAACCTTTTTTTAGCCAGTTAACTTAAGACCAAAAACATAAAATCTGTCAAACCAGCATGTTGGATATTCTTTATTGTCCAAAATATCCACAGTTTATCCTTTTATTGCATGAACCTATATTGAATTTTAACAAACCTTCCCTTGCAAAATAGATTTTCATTTGTACATACAGCACATTAGAGATAAATGGTATAAATATTACATCAAGTTATCAAGTTAATTAACTCAATTCTATTGATAAACCGTTTTTTAATCCCATTTAAATTTAGTTCTGTGTTGAAATTATTTCTGGCAATGATCCCATTTAATCATTTGTGACCTGGAAATATCGTACATACTGGCATGAGATCAAATATTGACTATAAAATGCTCAGCATTTATATTTTAATCAGCTTTAAATTGGTGAAAGTGGTAAATCTCTAAGAGCTGCAGCATGTTGTTGGGCTGTGATGTTGAAAGGTGCTAATTAATTTTGCATATGGAAAAAAAAAGGATTAAACACCTCATGTATTGTTAAATAGATGTACAAGTGAGCAAAGGGGGGCGAAATAAAATTCAACATTATGCTTAATTACGGAAACATGCACTGAAAATATATAAAATAACAGTACAAAATGGGATCATTGCAGAGAAATTAATAAAATAGGAGCTGCATCACTTACTTTGCATCGCCATCCTTGTCTCTTGTTATCGAAGGAGCAACGATGGAACAAACCTGAAATATGTAGAGAAATACAGCAATGATTTCCCAGGAATATCCTTAATCCAAATGATAAAACATCTGACTGCGCGCTGATCTTTCACCAATTACTAAACATTCTGGCACGCTCTCTGCCTCCTTGCACAAGCCCTGTCATTTTGCTTTCTCATCTGCCAGCGTGACAGATCCTGAGCTGGACCCTCCTACCCTGCAGCCAGGCACTCTGACCTGAAAACGACAACACAAAGCAGCAGCAGCAGCGAAAGCAGCAGCAGCAGCAGCGGCAGCGTGGTTTCAGGAGGAGGGAGGGCAAAATGGGCGGAGGGACAGCTGCACGTCAGAAATTCTTCATGCCGACCTTTAACCCCAGGTCCCCACCCAAACAGCATGAGAGCAGCCTCCTGGTGAAGTATGACAATCATCAACTCGCTGGTCAAGTTTAGGTTCTGGTGAACCCTGGAGCATTTGCATATACAGAGTGCCGTCGCCTCAGACCACAAAAAACAAAGCACTAAATATCCCATATGTTTGGCTTTAAAATATCTTCTTATAATCAACAGCTAGATTTGTGTAATTTTGTGTTTGCATCTCTCCAGGCTGCAAGTTTATGTTGTTTGTTTGCTCTAAACCTCAGAACATCATCTTACTTCCCTGATAATCAACCACCAAACTGCATTAGCAATCATTACTTAAACAAGATACAGCATCTATAGACATGTATGCATTTTGTAATAACATCAATGCACCTGTTTGTAACACATTGCATTAAAATAGCTTGAGCTCACGATTTATTGATCAATTTTAATATTTTCACTTTGTGCACTAGAATCTCTAGTGCAATGTCTTTATTTTCCAGAGTAAACAGAGACTATTGGGACGTGCATGGAAATGTTTTAGCCACATTTCTGCAGCTCGGATGACATTCACCACAGAAACTCCCTTAAAAACAAATCTGCATTTACAATAGCTGCCTGCCATTGCCTGTGACACATGACTAAAAGGCACAATGCGTACACTGTGCTGCTTTCAAGTGCTTTCAGATGTTTAGCTGTTACAGGACGCTTTGTTAGGCAAATTGCTGGGCCACATTGTGTGCATGTTTCACAAGCACTAAAGATGGACTTGAAGTATACAAAGATTTCAAAGAACAAGACAATAGCTTAAAAAAAATAAAAAGATCCATCCCTGAAGCTGCAGTGGGACCTGCGGTTTTACTGCAGCAATAGGCATTCATGTGAATCATCCATTATTATAACAAATAAAAGAAGCCCTGGCAAAAGTACATAATGTAGAGCTGCTACGTTAGTAGAAAGTGAGCCATCAAAACAAGATCAGGGCAGCAGTGAGTAAAGTACAGGGAATAAAGCCTTTCTTTTTAGCCGAAAATGCACTTTAACCTTCCTCATTGTGATTTTAAATTAAAAACAAATTTGTTCTCTGAATTTAACCGATCAATTAAGTAGCAATGAGCAGCTTTTTGCACCTGGGGTTCTGTTTCTGATGGAACCAGAGTAGTAGTCTTTCTTTTAAACAGGGGATTTTGAAGGCCCAACTCTTAAACCAATAGACCACCATTGCCCCTTTCTATAGCGCTGTGCCATCATACCATTTAGCAGATTCATTTCTGATATTTTTAACTGGAATTAGAGGGGAAAAAACATCCTATTGTAAACTGAAAGGATGATAAAACCATCTGAAAATATTCTATGCGGTGTGTGTATCAGAGTTAAGCCCCCACCTGAGAAAATACTTCATAAAACTACCTATAGATGCAACTATAAATATTTAGAAAGGCTGGACAATTAATTGCTTTTGTACCATAAACGCAATAAAAAAAAACAACTAAATTTTCAAATAGCAGATTTGCAATTTTGGTCTAATTACATTTAACAGAGCAACTACAGACTTTTTCACTCCAGCTCTTCAGGTGGAGGTACAGTTCAAGTTGGTTTGCTGCCACACAAAATAAAAGAGAGAGTTGTAGTTAGCAGATCCATGCATGCAAGTGGAAATAAGCAATTTTCCACGCAAAAGTAAAGCCTTGTACTATTGACTCTGGACAAGAAAGCCTTCAAGGCCATGAAAACAATAAGTCAACATACTTGTGGTAAATAAAAGAAGAAAAAAAAATGTTGGGGTTTGGAAAAAAAAAAAAAAAAAAATTTGGAAAAATCAATGAGCCCTAATATTTTGGTTGTTTGTCTCTTCCATCAAGAGACTGTATTCATTGCCCTTTCTCATTACTGTAAAATAGAATTATTGTGAAGTAGGCCAAGCTCAGTCAAGTCTGCAACAGATATCTGTAATCTTTGGTAGCCCATACCAAAGATTTTGTCCTGGTCTAACCAGAAAACAAAAATTTGCTGTGTCCCATTTTTCCTAAACACTTCTGCATGAAGTGATTTTATTTTTCCAGCACCCACTAACAGTTTTCCCACCTGTCTTGTGGATCACAGCAGCTTCTCCAGTTTAACCACAGATCTGTTGGCTGCTTCTTTGGTCAATGCTTTCCTGGCCGAACCTCTCAGCAAAGCTGGACAGCCATGTTTTGGAAATTGTGTCTTTGTAATTTTAAATGATGAGCTAAAATGCACTTTATTGAATGTACAGAGTTATAAAGCTGCTTTAAACAGCATCTTTCTTGCTGCCCGTCTCGTATTACTGCTGGCTCCGGTTTAAAATTCTTCAACAAACCTTGGATGTATAATTAGATTACATTACACACAGGTGGACAATGTTTCCTAATTAAAAGACCTCACAAAGCAGCTAGCTGCACTGGATTTTATTGAGGGGTAGCGCTGTAGAGGGGATGCACACAAGCATTAAAAATTTGTAACTGCCTTTGACCCTGTGTATCATTTTCCTATCACCCTAATCAGGCCCAATAAAACCGACTGACGTATGTTGTTGTAACTTGAGAAAATAAGTTGGACTTATCTTTTAAGTTCAGCTTATTAACATTAGTCTGAAGTGACTCCAATATATATAACCCCAGCTTATTTATCTCTGTTAACTCCAATATGTTTGTATGTTTCTTTCATTGGTTTTTAAACTGCATTGAACGCGTTTCTCCCAGCTTTAGAAGAAAAATACTTTTACATAAACCTGATAGTCTCGTAATGTCTCAACATGTTTCTTTATCTCCGATCACCTTAACATGAGCAGCTCTACGAGTTTCAGCTGCAGTGAATCTGGCACGAAGTCCCCACAGGCCCACGCCCCTGAGGACTGTCTCTACTTGCAGCTACATGATGCACTGACTCACCAGGTATCTACATACAACTGCTTTTACAGTCAACATCCACGCTCACCTTTCTAACTAATAGGCGCGGCTTTTCGTCGGATATATAAAAAAATAATCATACACCAGTCATCTTCTCTGCATTTTTCCGAGCTGTGTTTAACATCTGAATGTTAAACACCGTTTCGGACGACGTCTTTTTTTTTCTTTCCTGAAAAATCAGAGACAGCATTTGTGCTGCTTTGTTGCTCCTGAGGCAGCGGGTTCAGTCAACTGTTACAGTCTGGTGACACGCCCTGCCGATCATCTTGCCAACATACAGGGCTCTGTTTTGTTTTATCTCCTGGCCAATCTCATGTCTCTCGTCTAGGACATTTTGTTTGTTTTTTTTTTTCGATAAGAGCTACTCCCTGTATGGTAACCCAATTTCTTTCTTTTTTAATTCCTAAACCATTATGAAAGGTGATAAGACACTTCTATATTAAAATTGTATCAGTTTAAATTAAAAATAATTGTAAAACTGGATGTAAAATCTGTCTATGTCCTCATGCTGCCAAGTTTCGAGTCTTATCAGGCAGTTTCTGGTTAAATGCTTAGTCGTATCTTGAACTTCAGACTGGACTTTACCCTCCTCTGGTTAATAAGTGATGCCTTCATTGTCCTCGCAGTGTATTGCTCTTTACTACTGTCCACCCACACTGACACAGTAACAGTAACACAGGGGCCCAGCTCTGGGAGAAACCAGCATTTCACACCAGGCGCCTCCCACCCATCTTGTTGGGCAACAAGATGACTTCAGGAGGCTTCTTCCACAGAAAGCATTCACAGTAAAACCAGGAATGTGCATCAGTGAAAAGCTGCCAGAGAGCAAGTTGCAACAGACAAAGCAGGCGTGGACACTTTCCAACTGAAACACTAGTGTGACATTCCACGCTAACACCACATACTCGATATGTCAGACTGCAAAGCTTCCACTGCAAACCCTCCTTTATGCTTTTTCCACTGTTTTTAATTTATCCACTTCTGACTAACCAGTCATGTCAAAAAACTGCTGAAACTATCAGATAAGGGGAGGACGTCTCTGGTGTGACAAAAGGGATGAGTAAGGCTGCTGTCATTGGTGACAGTGATGTGAACATACAGTCCTGCCCACATCCACAGGCATCTGAAACAGGGTGTGTCACACAGCAAAAACAGGTTCTCAATAAGGGTGTGGTGGAGGACTGTGTGGGTGAAGGTGAACAAGGAACAGCTACATTTCCTAAATCTCCCACTTGTTTAGGTTCGAAGTTGCTAAACAAGGATGTTTGGAAATGAAAACCATCCCAGCAGATTGTAACTTTGCTGGCTTGAGCTCCTCTTTGTATAAAAGCAGAAATAAATCAGGTCAGGGGAAAAAAGACTCACGGGGCCCTGGGATAAACTCTGCTCATATTCCAATCATATCCAGAGGTTTCAAACAAGCTGCGCAGAGTTTGTACTGATCTCCTGTTTAGGTTTAATCCTTTTTGGCAGGCAGGGTGGTAAATAAAACATCTCAGAGATGTTGCTCCTCTCTGGTAGGCTTTAAACACCTGCTTAAGAGCATTAAGAGACCACAAATTTAATAGAGTCAAAGTTTTCGGAAATATGCTTATTCATATTTAGGCCAACAGCCAGATAAGAAAACTGAATTTCATTTGGGTTACTCACAGGCCAGCGGCCAAATAGGCTACCAGAGATCAGCATGTTCATAAAGGAGGAAACAGCCTCTTAACAACTCTTTATTACCGCT